GGTCCTTTTAAACAAAATTCAGACTGTGCCACTGCTTATGTCTGGTCTGCACTGAAATGTGAAAGGATATTGTTCACTGAACAGCCACATCTCTCCTAAGGGTTGCAGAGCAGGGATTTGTTTCTGCAGGGCAGGAGATAAGGGGTAGAGTGGAGAAGTGGGGTCAGGCGCCTGACTGTTTCTGCTTTGTCCCTGCCATGCTTCTGAGGGCCTGTTGAACTAAAGTATGCTTTTCATGGACAGAGTTTATGATTATGGAGGGAATGCTGCCCAAGGAGAAGGCTCGGGTGAAAGCATTTAAAACAACAGAGCCAGCTCTGTCCTGCAGTGGGTGATTATTAGCTTCAGTGTGGCTCCCCAGTGGACACCATAGCCCTGCTGAAAAAACACTGGTTCTGGCCCTACCTTCAGTATTCCAGAATGTCTCTCCATCCTTCTTTACTTCTAATCATTGCTGCGTTTTGCTCTGATGGGTTTTGCTGGCAAATGCCTGATACAGCCTGCCTTGGAGTAAAGCTGATGTTAAAGGCATCAATATTTATTTGAGAGAAGTTTGTTTTCCTCCTGTTTTCTCCTCCTGTCCTTCAAAAAAGTCTGTGAAGGTTCCATCCCTGTCTTAATCCATGCTCCCCTGCAACTGGTGCAACCGGTGCACTCCCTTCAGACATGTATGCCAGATGAATTAGTGTTCCTTGGGGAAGGAATGTATGCATCCAGGGGAGTCCATGTGCCACAAAACATATGCTGTGCATCAGTCGGTAAAATTTAAAGGCAGTGGCAAGCTGGGATCACTGAAGTGGCTGCAGTGAGGACAGCACTTAGGCTGAGTTTTCACACCCTGCCGCTCTGTGTCAACTCTGAACATCACTTGCTTGTTAGCTGGGCCAATTGCACTGTGCTTTTACTCCATAAAGTAAAATGCTAATATGCATTTCTTCCCTGGGACAAAGCAGAGAGGTTTATCTCCATGGATTTGCTACAAAATGAAGAGCATACCAAGGTTTAAGGTATCATAAAGTCACACTCAGGCTGACGTTTCCTCTTGCAGCCTAGTTGACTGGTAGAGTGGAGCACTGAGATATGATGTGCCTGTATCATTATCATTATGTTACTGGCCTTGCTGGTTTTTTTTTCTGGAAGTTGCAGCCGTTCTTCAATCAAACATTGCTGTGTAGAGTTTCAGTTTTGGTGGTACCAGGAATGGGAGGCGGGGACAGTAAGTGAATCTAGAATATTCTCAAACAGATCAAGTGTGCTGAGCGCTGAGCTTGGCAAGACTGAGATAGCTTGGCATTGGGAGCTGAATCACTGTAGAACTGGTCTATAATGGAACAAGAGAAAAAAACAGTATAAAATGCCTAGTAGTTATGGTGTATTACAGAAAAGCTGGAAAGCCTACCAGAGCTTACAGTCTACAGCTTACATGTTTTATCTGTGAGCTTGGAGAGGTGTCTGCTGCTGTATTTGCTGTTTAGCACAGCAGCTGCTTATCACGTTCCTGTAATTTCTACTGGATATGGGGGTCACAACCTCTCTGCATTCCGTGTGGGTCTGGGGATGCTTTGATAGGAGAAAGGATGCATCAGGAGTGCGTTGCTGAAGACAGAAATATTGAAACCTATAGACCTGGTTTCTGGCCACAGCTCATGCTGTGAGACTAGAGAGGTCTGGAGTTTTTTTGTAGTTCTGTTTTCTGTGTTTTCTCATAGCAAAGATTATTACAAGTATCTCTGGATAAAAATTAGCATCCATTGCTGGACAGGCACTTACCAGTATTAAGTTTAAGTTTTTACCAGTATTAAGTTAACTTACCATTACAATCCACTGGCCTTGAATCTAGGATTAGGGGGAATATAATCTATTACTTTTTTCAGACTTCATTTTTCAGTTGAGGTTTCCCATTTTGATGTGATAAAGAGTAAAGCTGCATGAGAAATCCATGTCCAGCCTTGCCCTGTAGGGCTTTGTACACAAAGCTGTCTCTTGGCATTGTTTTAATGGTAATGCTGCTGTGGATTCTTTATGTGTAGAAACTGTAGACTGCAGAAGAGAGACCTATTTTCACCCTGGTTGCTTTTAGCGCTTAGTTAGAATTCATTATAAGCACTTTACAGAGGGAGGCAAGTATTACTGATTTCAGCAGATTAGTAAACTGAGGCATGGAGGGAAAGTTATGCACCCAGAAAGTGCTGAAAGTAAGAGATACCAGGCATTTGTCTGAGTAACACCACTTGGACCCTGCTAAAATATCCTGCCCTGAAGGCAGCTTGCACAGTAGCCATGCACAGGGCATCTGCATTTCCTATGCCCTCAGTGATAATAGCACTGAGTCTTCAAGCCACCTAAATCCACTTGAGAACTGAAGTCTTACTTTACTGCTAAGAATCTGTCATTTCCCCTGAACAAGAGGCTTATGTTAAAGACAACCTGTATTGACTTGACAGCCTTTTTGTACTTTATACTTTCGTATGAAGTACAAAAAGTACTTGCTTAATACTTACTTTTTGTACTAGGTACAAAAAGTACTTACTTAGCCCCCCTTTGTACTAAGTAATAAGAGAATCAACTGTCAGAATTAACTACTGGAATAGCAGGAAGGATCCCTTATTCTTCGGTGCATGTATGGGCACCCTCAGTCAAGATGAAGCTTTAAATTGGAGAAGCTGGAGGATAGGGTTTCTTATGCAGCCCTGTTGACTAGTTTTGTCAAGCAGGGGAAAGAGCACACCCTCCCTCTTGCTGGGTGTTCCTCCTTCACATCCCAGCCATGGCTCTGATAGGCAAAGCAGAAGCTGGGAGCCGCTGTACTGTTAATTTCACTAAGTGGCAGATGCTGGTGCTTCCTTTCTTTCTAAACTTCTGGTGGTTTGTGGTAAGGTTGACTCTCATAATACACTGGTTCCTAGCAGGGTACAGATGTTTCTTGTCAGCTTTGGCCATCTTTCAGGGCTACAAATGCTACCTTTAATAAAGAGCAGTGGTGAAAGAGGACTGTGATTTATAGTGAGTGAGGTGCTGTGAGTTGTCATGGCTTTTGAAGCAGCATTTGTACATGAAAAGCTCCACAGATGTGTTAGCTCACCTGGGTATACCTTGCTCTTGTCAGTTGTTAGAGATGGGAATTTGAAATTAGTTGTGCCTGATTTGAATGGACAAGGTGTTGCTCAGGGTTTGTGTCAGAGTACTCTGTCATTTGCTTTCTTCACATGTTTGGTATAGGTCAAATTTAGAGAATTTCAGACATTGGCTAGTGGTTTTGGATAGGGCCGAGGAGGCATTTTCCGCAACAATGATGTCAGGAGGGGCTTTTTTTCTTTTCTAGGTTAACTGATGGCCAGTAACATTAGTGTTGTTGGAATTGTATTTACAGTATTAATTTTCTGCTACGCATTGAGACTGACTCCCTTTCATTATAGCGCCATTTTAGTTACACTGAAATAAATGCAAACCAATGCAAATCCCCAGTTCTTGCAGGAAAAGGTTAGATTTCTGTTTTCCCCAGATAAAGAAGTTGTACCCACAGGGTGGATGTGTGATACTTCTGATGTTGTAGGAGCACTGAGAGGATGGAAACAGAGGTGAAATAGGCAAATCTCTGTTCTGTACATGTCCTTAAAGCATGGATGAAAAGAGAGGTAGGAAGCAGGTGATTTGTAGCATGCAGAATATCAAATATTTTTATTTTAAGCTCACCTTATATGAAGATCTCATCTTTGAGGAATCAGTAAGTGGCTAGCAGACATTTGAGTAAATGGCTAGACAGTTGTTACTGGAGCACAGCAATCAGTTGTCTTAACCATGGCTTGTCAAGTCTGAAAATTACAGTGGTGTGTGAAACTGTGGCATGTTGTTTACTATGTGTAACTGTTCAAAGTGTGTTCAAAGTCATCTTTAACTCATTCCACTCATATCTGCCCTATGCATGACTCTTGCTGATGATTCATTAGCCCTGTGTAAGTGGGGTTTTAGTAGAAAGAATTTCTATATAGTATAAATATATAGAAATAAAAATAGGAATGCTGTCAAGTGCATACACACACATAGGAAGAGCTGAGATTTCGAAAAAAACTTTCATGGTAGTGTCAGAGAAAAGCTCTTCTAAAGTTAAAAGCCTACCTTTTTGAAGGGATGTCTATGTGGGGGTGCACTTTTTGGTGTGGTGGGCTCTTGACTTGTTCATGGGAGAAGCAAAGCAGGCACACAGCTCAGTCAGAGCTTTACTATTGTACTAGAGGTGGGAGGAATGTATAAGTGCATGTTTTATCTGAAGTGCCCTGGGGTTGCCATGCTGAACATCTTGACTTTGAGCAGCTGGTGAGGGAAATAATTGGCACCATGAGGGAGCAGGAGGGAAGCAAGGAGTTCTCCAGGCTGGCATGGGTGGTTTGTGTCTCTCATAATCCAAACTGGGCTCTTTGCTTCGAGTCCCACTTTTTCTAGCAGTGCCTTCCTATGTGATGCCCACTGCTCATGGGCGACACAGGAGCCGCTGAGAGTTCTGGTGATACTATTTTAGATTTAAGGAATTGTGTAGTTTCCAGGACAACGGGGGAAGAATGAGGAAAGGACTTGTTCTGACTCAGCTTGGAGTAACTGATCGCCCTTTTTTAATCACTGCATTTCTCCAGAAAAATTGTTTATTTCCTACTTTTAAAGAGGCCTCTTTGAGCCAAGCAGGCAATTGGGTTAAAAAATACTAATGCAAGAAGCACTCAGGTATAGTTGGAGGCTGATAATAGCAAAGAGCTCTCTCTGGGGTGAGCCCAAGTTGAGGATACTTAGCCCAGTCAGAAGGAAAGTCCATATTTGGCTGTCTGTTAAACACCCCTAACTTCTGCTGGCTGCTAAGTGAATATCCCTGTTCTGCATTGCTCCTTCTGTTAAGTGGGTTTTGTTACATTATGTCATCTTGCCTCTGTACAATTAATTGCCTTCCATTCTAAGTGGAATCTCTAATGTTACCTTATTTTTCTTCTTTCCATATTATTTTCATCTCACAGCAATGTTGAACTACAGAATGTGGTGTTAGACTACAGTGCAGCCATGGGGAGCAATGAACTTCAGGAGAAAGATGCCACTGGAGCCCCTGGCCACGATCTCAGCAATGGCAGCAGCAGCAATTTGGAAGCAGCCAGGCGCCTGGCTAAGCGCCTCTACCATCTGGACAGATTCAAACGCTCTGATGTGGCAAAACATTTGGGTAAAAAGTATGTGCTGAAATGAGGCCTTTAGCCACATTCTTATTGATGGTTCTGGAGGGGCTCATTATTGAATGATAACCTTTACTTATTTCTTTGCTTTTCTTTAGCAATGAATTCAGCAAGCTTGTGGCTGAAGAATATCTTAAATTTTTTGACTTCACAGACATGACACTGGACTGCTCACTCAGGTACAATTCTATTTGTGGGCTTAATGTACTTATTTTAGTAACAGCTGTTTGCAGTGTTCTGATTTACATGGTTGTCCTTTTGGAATGTAAGAAGATGAAGAGAGGACTGTGATGTATTTTGGGGACAGAGCTTTCCTCTTCTGTTTGGCTTGGTGTGCTGCCATACTCTAGTGCTCCTGGAGTGTTAGCCATGTGGAGAGGGAAGTATTTGGGTGGACCTGCTTAGGGATGGTCCTTGATACAGAGAAGCTGGAGAAAAATGTCCAGTCACTCTCACTAGTAGTCTGCCAGGTACTAGTGAGGAATTACAGTGTTGCTCACAGCTGATCTGCAGATCTGCAGACTTTCTGGCTGATGCCTTTTGGAGCTTACCCTGCTTTGCTGCAGTGCAATAAGACCAGGGTTTGGTGTGGCTCAGCAGCTTCTCTCTCTCTGTTTCCCTGAGGAATCCAGAAATGTGCAGAACAGCAAAAGCTTCTACAAGCTGTAGTGAGTTTGGTAACTGTCAGGGTGGATGTTTGAAGACCCAGCCCTTCCATTTTATTTCCTTCTTGCACTGGACCTCAACAGTGTTTATTTTCAGTGCTTTTTTTCTCAGAAGTCAAAACACCAAGTTTGTGTAACAGTGGCCTATTAGCGCAGTTGCTGGTGTTCTAATGTTTAAGGGGATTTAAATGAGTTTAACTCATTTGACTGAGGTTACTTAAGTGTGATTTTTTTTTTTCTAATGAAAATCTAGGAGGTATGCATGCAGTTCTTAGCCTCTTTGCAAGTGCGTTTCCGGGGATCTGATGCCAAGAGACCATAGCAGATCCAAGGCACCCACAAAGTCCTGCCTGCTAAATGCTGTGTAAATGGAACATGCCTGCCCAGGCATGAACCACTTGGTCCTGAGGCAGGGGGAGTGGAGCCAAGCTGGAGCACCTGCTCAGCATACAGTGGGAGTTCCTGGGCAGTGGGAGGTCTGCTGCTCGTTCCAGGTTTTAGCACCCCTGAAGCATGATGCTAAATATATCCTTCTTTTAAATTGTGAAATCCAACACATAATTGCTTTGTGGCACATATTTAGGAGGTTTCTACTCCCTGTAGATCTCCAGTTAATATTAATAGTTATGACCTTCTCTAAAATATGCACAGGCTCATGTAGGACTTAAACAAGCCAAGGGGTTGTTGAGGTTTCAAGAGTAGCTGGAGTAGTTGCCAGCTACATGCCTTAAGCATGCAGCAGCAGCTGGGGACAAAGAATCATCCCAAAGCCTGAGGAAACTGAGGCATGCTACCTCATGGTTGGCATGGAGTGAGAGATAACAGTGCTGTTGTTGCTGTTGTTGGCTCACTGACAAGCTGTGGTTTATTGAGCATTTTGGAAGCAGCTGCTGAGATCTGTGCTACCTCCCAGCTGTGGGAGGCTGCTGTGCAGCATCAGTGAAAAGTCTGAGACCTGGGAAGGGTTGTTCCTTCACTGTCCACTCCCTGGATCCGTGTTGCCCATGCACCTCCTGAGAGCATCTCTTGCAACCTCTGCAGGACTACTGGAGGGGATGTGGTGGGGTGGCTGCTCCAGCTCCTGTCAGTGTCTGTTCTGGAGTCCAGTCCTGGACAGGGTGGGAGCAGACTTCAGGCTGCTCAGGGAACTAATTAGTAAGGTTCCCTGGGAAAATGCTTCTGAAGGTGTTGGGATCCATCAGTGCGGTCACCACCTCTTAAGGGCACAGGAACAGGCAAATCGAAAATGTTGGTCATGTGTCAAGCAGACAAGGCAGAAGGCTAACTTGAATGACTGGGACATCTTCTGGAGCTAGCACAAAAAAAAGGTGCTCGTCCAATGGAGCAAGGTCAGGTGACATGGGAGGAATACAGATTTGCTGCTCACCATTGTAGAGAGAAAATTCCAGCTGACAGTTGAACATGGAGTTCAGCTGGAGTTGAACATGGCCCGTACTTGTGTGGGAAAACAAAAATATTTTTTTCTTAATAAATCTATAGAAGAAGGCAATGCAGAATGGCTCAGTGCCTTGAGCTGGAGGACCATGGCTATGAGCTGACCCTGAACTTGTGTGGGATCTGCTGCTCCATCTGGATCCTCCTAAGTCTATGGGGCCACATGGGATTTACCAGAAATACGCAAAGAGCTGTTTGATATCATTGTGAGGTCCTCTTAATGATTCTGGAATGATCTTTGGCATCTGGAGAAGTCCCAATTGTCTGGAAACTGTCTAACCTTCAAGAAGGACAAGAAGGATGACTCTGGAACCTATAGGCCTGTCAGTCTCCCTTCAGTGCCTGGTAAAATTACAGAGAGAATTATTCTGGGAGGTGTTAAAAAATTCCTGAAAGATAATGCAGTGATCAGTCACAACCAGCACGACTTCATGAAGAAAAAGTCCTGCTTATCCAACCAAATTTCCTTTTATGATAAGGTAACCCAATGATGATCAAAGGAAGCCAGTTGATGTAATCTTTTTGGTTTTCATAAAGCTTTTGATACTGTCTCTCTCAGGACCCTTCTGAAGAAAAGGTCCAGCCCTGAGCTGGATAATCCCTTCATGTGATGGCTGAGCAGCTGAATCATGGGTCAGGCACAAAGGGTTACAGTGGATGGAGTGACATCAGACTGGTGACCCGTCACTGGTGAGGTTCCACAGGGCTCCATCCGTAGTCCTGTGCTCTTCAACGTCTTCGTAAATGACTTGGACACAGGTCTCGAACGTATAGTTAGTTTGAGGGTACTAAACTGGGAGGAGGCATTGACTCCCTCAAAGGAAGAGAGGTCCTGCATGGAGATTTTGATGAATGAGAGGTCTGGGAAACTACCAAGTGTGTGAAATTTAGCAAGGGTGGGTGCTGGATTCTGCACCTGGGATAGACTGGGAAATGAGCTGCTGGAGAGTAGCACTGTGGAAAAAGACCAGGAGTCTTTGTGGAGGGCAAGTTGAATATGACTGAGCAGTGGCAGCCAGGAGGGCCAGCTGTGTTGTGGGGTGCATCAGGCACAGCATCACCAGCTGGGCAAGAGAGGGGATTGTCTCATTCTGCTCTCTACTGGGGCAAACTCATCTCAAGTGCTGGGGCCAGTTCTGGTCCCTTCAATATAAGAAAGATAGGAAGCTACCAGAAAGTACCTGAAGAAGGGCTGCAAAGATGGTGAAAGGCCTGGAGGGGAAGACAAAGAAGAAGTCCGACTCAGTTCTTTCTGGGGTGCCATGTTGCCACAGAAGTTACATCTCAAGGCCAGGATGGTGTTTTGGGCCCTGGTGTGGGGCCTGGGGTTCATCTCCAGTCATCCAGTGGTTGTTTCCACTGTTGTAAGCATACAGTGCTTGCCTTGGTGGGTGTGCAGCAGTGTGATGTAACCAATTTGCCAGACTGCCCCATATTTGTATTTCAGCCATCACCCACCATAACAGAGAGGCCTTACCCTCTTGGCCCGCTCGGTCGCAGTGCATGTTTCAGTTGTGGGTAACTGGGAGGTGGTGTCCATGGGGAAGTCCACCCCTTGATCACAAGCCCACATGTATATTGCATCTCTCTTCTCTGATGGCCTGAGGCATCTTGAGCCCACTGAGACAGAAGTAATTTGCTCTTACACTGCCAGTCCAGATTAACCTGAGACGCTTTAATCTTGGTGGCCTGATCCACCTCTCCATCGTTGTGATGTTCTTCAGTAGCCTAACTCCTGGGCATATGTGCATCTCATGATGTAGTTCTACAGCCAACTTCTCTACCAGGGAAACAATTTCTTGCCACGATTCATCAGCCCAGATGGGTTTTCCTCTGCACTGCCAACTGGCCTTTTTCTGTCAGTCCAGCCATCCCAACACAGCATTTGCCACCATCCACAAGCCAATGTAGAGGGAGATTGCTGGCCATTTCTCTCATTCAGTGATACCTGAAGACAGCTGGATGGCTTTCAGCTCTTCAACCTTACTTGATCCACCTTGTCCTTCAGTAGCTTCTGTGACTTGTCATATAGGGTTCTCTACAGCTGCTTTCCATTTTTGAGTTGTCCCTGTGATACATGAGGAATTGTCAGTAAAGAGAGTGTATTCCTTTTTAGGTAACTGACTATATGGTGGGGCCTCCTCAGCATGTGTAATCTTCTCCTCCAGTGATGATGATAGTCTGAAGTTTTCACCTTCAGGCCAATTAGTGATGACTTCCAAGATCCCTTGGTGATTGGGGTTTCCTGTTCAAGCTTGCTGTGTGGTCAGAGTAATCCAGTAACTCCATAGTGGCATGATGTGTTGCAGGGACTGTCCCTTTGAGTATCCAGCCCATCGCTGGCAGCTGGGATGCCAGGAGGAGCTGTGCTTCAGTGCCAATCACTTCTGAGAGGTCCAACCCTTTCATAACTTGCCAGTCTCTCTGTTTCAGTGGGGGTATAGCTGGCCTCAGATCCTTTTTATGTTGGAATGTTTGTATTCCCAACTCCAGAACATCAGGGGTCATCATCTAGTCTCCATGTGTACCTTTTGCCAGCAACTCCAGGAGGGACCATTCTTTCTGGCTGCACTGTGGAGCATATTTTTTTACATCTTGTAATGTCTTGACTAGCTACTGCATAAGCAGTCTCTTGTTTAATTTCTTCAAAATCTTATTATTGTTCAGGACCCTGCTTGAAATTGTTGTTCTTTGGGGTCATGTGATAGAGAGGTTTTAAAATCTGACTGTAATCTGAAATCTGCATCCTTCAAAAACCCACAGTGGCTGGAAAACCTTTTCCTACCACAGGTAGGAAAACCTGTGTTTCCTTCATGCTGGTTGGTGGGACATAGCTGCTGTTCCATTGACCGTGACCACTGCAATCTAATAACGTCCATCTTGCCATTTTAGTCCTAAAAACTTTGCTGTGTGGCAAAACCAGCCTTCAGGAGGATTTAGATAGGCTTCTCCCCTTTCTTGAAAACTCCTGCTGTGTTGCCCTGCATGATCATGTTGTCAGTAAATTTCAAGTATTCTAGGACCTCACCCTTTTCCTCACTTCCTTTTCCAGTGCAGTCTGGATTAGTCCAGAATAAATAATGGGGTTCTGTTTCCACCCCTGGGTGTGTAAGTTCCAGGTGTATGTCACACCCCTCCAGGTAGAAAAGTGAGGCCTGCACCCTATTGCTAAAGGAACGGAGGAAAACATGTTAGCAATGTTGATGGTGGCACTGCTTCACAGCTTTGGACTCCAGCTCGTACTGAAGTCCCAGCATGTTGGGTGCAGTGGCACTCAGTGGTGGTATGACTTCATTCAGGCCATGATAGTCTGTTGCTCCCTGGGCTTACACACTGACCATACAGGACTGTTAAAGGGTGAATAAGTCTTGCTGACCACTTCCTGGCTCTCCAGTTCACGGATCATCTCATGGATGGGAGTCACAGAGCCCCAGGTGGTGCAGTATTGTCGATGGTGTGGTGATGTGGTAGTGACTGTACCTGCTGTTCTTTGACCCTCAGCAGTCCCAAGGCAGAGGGGTCCTCTGAGAGACCAGGCAAGGTATTCAGCTGTCTCGTTTCCTCTGTCTCCACAACAGCTATCCCAAAAATCCTAACAACATCTTTTTGGGTCTTGGAAATACCATCTTTTGAGGCAATCTATGCCAAGGATGCACGAGGCCTCTGGGCCAGTCAAATGGGGAGTTTTTGCCATTTATTTCCAGTCATGCTCTCTCTACCTTCCAGTGCAGTCAGCTGTAGGGATCCCTTTGGCAGCCCAGAAGGAGATGGATTCTCTTCCCACATATCTTGATGGCGTCAGGGTACATCATGTGCTGATGGGAACTAAAGCCTTACACTCCTGTGTGTCTGGTGTACCAGGGCACTGGATCCACAAAGTCCAATAGATCTGATTGTCCCTTCCTTCTACCTGGCTGGGGCCTCTGTAGTTCTAGTAATAGTACATGTTGCTCATTTCTTGTAAATATGAGCTGGAGGTCCCTTCAAGAGAATCAGAAGTAACATCAGCCCTTATATTAAAAATTAACTCTCTCCTCGCTAGAACCAGGATAGGAGCACAAAGTAGGAAGGACAGAGAAATTCTGTGAAGATTCACTTGTATCTACTTGTGAATTGGATTATTTGCAATACATTACATGTGAAATGAAGTTATTACCAGGCAGATCACACTCTGTGGGTGTGAGATTGTTGCAAGTACAGCCTGTCTCTGACCTTACATCAGAGAGAAAAAATTGAAGTTTATGCATCAAGACTAGATAGATGTGAATGTTCCAGCAATATATTCCGTTCCTTTCAGATCTGGTGTTAGTTTCCTTCTCATGGAATGTTTAAAAATTGTCTGTTAGACAGTCATTCTGTATGTCTTCTTTAGATCCAGAAGTTTTGTGTTTTCAGTATTTTCTTAGAAACATCCTGATAAATGAATGCAGAAGGTCATCTTTGGCTGTGACACGCATTTTTCTAGCAGGAAGAATGGCAATGTGGTTAAGAGGAGGGGTGGTCAAGTAGGAGAATAGAAGTGAAAGATGTGTGTCCTCCCCATTTCTCTGCACAGGCTTGCAGGCTATATCCAGTGAGTGTGCCCAGATGTGCAGCAGCCCTGCACCCTGGGCTCTCATGAGCAAGAACCTCAGGAGGGCCAAGTTACTTCTCCTGCTGTAGAAGCTCAGTGGGAGATGTTGCAACTCTTCTGCCCTTTTGCTCAGATATTTTCTGTGGGAGTCACACTCCTCCCAGACAGATGTGGTCCTGGTCACTCTGATAAGTGACCGCACATTTGGTGTTAGCCATAAGTGCTGTGCACTTGCTTGACTTCGTCACCTGGAGTAGCTTCTCTAATTTGGAGAGCAGTACCAATGAGGTAAAGTTAAAAGGTGCAGGGATGGTGGGCAATTAGAAGAGAATAGGGAACATCCTGGATATCTTATCATGCAAAAAAAACACATGTTCCAATTCCTTGCCCAAAGAAAAAAAAATTAAAAAGTAAGAATGGCTCTTTCAAATAGTGGCATTATTTATTATTCTGTGGCTGAGACTGGTGGTAATATAAATCTTCCTTCATTTACTATAATGTTGGAGTTAACTGTACGTGGAATGATAGCCCAGCTCCCTAGAAAGGCTCCTTGGAACTGAATTTGTGCTTACATACTTCTTGCTGTGATGTGTGCTTTGCTCTTTGTACTGTGTGAAGCAAAAACAGATTTATTACCTTAATTTAACTTTTTTTTCCATTGCTCTTTTAGGAGTTTCTTTAAAGCTTTTTCGCTTATTGGAGAAACTCAGGAACGTGAGAGAGTTTTAATCCACTTCTCCAGCAGATATTACCAGTGCAACCCAAATGCCATTTCTTCTCAAGGTAACTTTGTTTCTGATACTGAAGTCTTTGCTTGTTGCTGTCTCCTTTCATTCTCACCTTCAATAGCACATAGGTTGTATGGCTGGAAAATGAAGCTATGTGGGTATTGTATCACACTTTAGAGACTGTCTCAAGTAAGCATCAAAACCCTCAGCAGGAAAGGTATTTAGACCACCTCAGTATAAATCCTCAGTTGTGACACCTCCGGATTTGTCCACTGTTGTAGTTTCTGATCTCGCTTGCTTTGGTGTGTGGGTACTTCTACTTGAGCTGCACTCATGTGGATAAAAATAGGTCCCATGTCAGGTGGAAGAGAGGCTGTTCACTTTCTGTGCTCCATTCAGCGCTTGTGTCTGCATGCGCTGGCATCAAGCATGCCAGTTCTTGCCAGTTGTGGGGGTGAATTTTGGGTGCTGTATCCAGACCTTGGCATGGTTTCATCTTGACTAGCTAACATCAGTCAGAGCGCTCCTCCTTGCCAATGTTTTCAGTCAGTTTGCAAATAGATGATGGAAACAAACAAGAACATAGATCAAACCTGAGAAGACTGGGATTGCAGAAGAGGACAAACTGTCTGTTGGCATAAACTGCTATGTTCAGCCAGACATGCTGGCAGAGTCTTGTGGCCCTGTGATAGCAGCACACACTGATTACACACTGAAGGAGGAGGTTGAAAAAGGAGGCAGTAGGTTTAGCTGCACCTTTATTTTCATGTGTAAGTGAGAAAGAGCTTAAGAGGAGTAAGAAAGGATCTACTTCTGTGCTGTGTCTGTCCTCTGCCTATTGCCTTTCTTATTTCAAGATACTGTAGGCAGTCAGGTAGAACAAGTGCATCATGTCCAGAGTGAAACAGTGACTTGCCTGATGACATGGCCTGCCTTCCTCTAGTCCAGGGTGCAAGAGGGAAATTGTGACTTTGGACCCTGATTAAATGTTTAAATCCTGCATGCTTAACCCAGGACTTTAGTACTATGTGTGGTTTGGGCACCGCAATATAAGATTATCAGAAGGTATCCTGAAAAAGGATATGAAGATGGAGAAGAGTCTAGGGGGGTAGCCAAATGGGGAGCAGTGAGAACACATAGTTTGCAGAGCATGGAGAAGAGGAGCCTGAGGGGAGACCTCATTGCAGTCTACATCTTCCTCACAAGGAAGCACTGATCTCTGTGGTGACCAGTGATGGGAGCTAAAGGGAATGGCCTGTAGTTGTGTCAGCAGAGGTTTAGGCTGGACATTAGAGAGGGGTTCTTCTCCCGGTGGGTGGTTGGGCTCTGGAACAGGCTCTCCAGGGAAGTGGTCACAGCACCAGCCTGGAAGAGCTCAAGAAGTGTTTGGACACTGCTCTTAATCACATGCTGTGATTCTTAGGGATATCCTGTGCAGAGCCAGAGCTGAACTTTAGAAGCTTCCCCTTCTTCCATGATCCTTGTACGGCAACTTCTAAACTTGCTTGGAAAATTTGTTCAAAAAGGGCTTAAAGTACTACTACTTTTCCTGAGGTGGGCACAAAGAAGAACTTGACAAAAGAATGTTCACAACCAAACTTTCCTAGCAAACCTTAGAAGTTAGGAATTTAGCAGAATTTAAAAAAAAACAAACATTGAATCAAAATAAAGCTTTTCATAGAGCACTGACTTAGCAAACTTTACTTATCCAACCTTAATTACCCATATTTCAGAACATGGAAATTAGGAGTAGAAAAGAAGAAAAAGAGACAAAAAGAGTGAGAAACAAGATATAGCTAGTACCTTGGATGCTAGTGTTTCAGCTGCCATAAAATCCAAGGACAAGAGTGACACAATCACATATCCTGGGGCCTGCTCTGGCTTCCTGTGGCAGACTTTCTCTCAGGGGACCTTCCAGTCATCTGGCCCAGGGTTTGACTGGGGCACCAGGGCAGGGTGTGGGATGTTGCTTTTAGTGTCCCAGTGATTGGTGGCAGTTCTGAACTAGAGGCTCCAGAGAGTGGGGTGTGGAGTAGTGCACCATCCCATTTTCTGCAGAGCTGTTCCCCCTACACACATATTTCAGTTGTTTTGAGCCAGTAATCATTTTCTTCAGTCTCCCAGACCTCTAACTCTATTCCATGGTTCCTAGAATCTGGATTATTGCTGAGGACCTTGGCCACAAAACCAGCTTAGAAACCCCTGGAGTGCTCTCTATCCAATGTGGAGCCAAGGCAGCATAAATAACTGACTGTGCTTCTCCAAAATTAGGTCTAATTGAGCTCTGAATGAGGACTGAGCCAGAGGGGGAGAAAAACAGGCTACCCTGCTGCACCCACTCTTTGCACAAGAATGAATGTATCTTAATTTTCCCTTTCTGCACTGAAGTTAATGAAGAAGGTGTTGATTCGGACTATAATATTGGCATTAGCAAGCTAAGAGTGATAGCGTGATTTCCTGTCTTGCTTGTCTCATCCATGGGTGCTACAAGACAGTTTTGACAGTTACTAAAGGATGAAAGAAAGACTGTTCTGGTTTGGTAGCTGTGTGATGACCTCATTGTTCATTTATTTAATTATGTGTATTCTTGATAAAACAGATTCTTATAAAGGGAACAGACTCAATTAGTCTATGAGTCTCAGTTTCAGCTCCTTAAAGGTCCAGATGTGGTTTTGCATGTGACTCTGGTTATTTCTCTTTCTGCAGATGGAGTTCACTGTCTCACGTGTGCCATGATGCTGCTGAACACAGACCTTCATGGCCATGTGAGTATGAACAGCTTTGTGTAGACTACTCCTATCCACACCATGCTGGGACAGGGTGGTCTTGTGGCAGTCCCTGTGCCTGTGGCCTTCTTCTAAAGCCCCTGCAGACAGCAAACAGTGAGAAGGCTGCACTCCTAGGCTGTTGTCCTGGACAGGCCTTTCCAGCATGTCTTGATCACTCATGTATAAGCTGGCATTGTGCTTGGCATTGCCATAATGTTTGAGCATACTCCCTGTCCTCAGGCCTGTCTTTCTGGTGTGCTTACCATGCTTTCTGCAGCAGGCCCTGACTGGGAAGCTGTGCTTGATATTGACTTTCCATTTACAGTACGTACAAACATGTGGGAAGGCAGAATAAAGATGGGAGATGAAAAAGTTCTGGGAAAGCCACAAAGGGAAGGTGGTGGTTGCAGGCATTCAGTTGCAGGGGGCAGATCTGGTGGAAGCAGAATTTTGCACAAATGATGCATGTACTCAGAGCCAAGAGAATGGAGGGGGCATGTGGGCATGCTGAGTGGCAGCCCTGTGTTCCTGCACTGCACACCCACTGCCTGTGTGGGTGAAATAATATTCTGCTTTGAGTCCTCTTAGTCAGGCTGCTGCAGGATACCAGCAGCCTTAGGACGGGTATTTCAGCACCCATGGTTCTGAGAACATACACCTGCTATGCAAGGTATTCCCATGCTGATGGGAAGCTTCCTTTGCCCTGGAGTTAGGGTGGAGTGTGTAAAAACACAGGAAGCATGGCATGATAGTGTGCAAAAGCAGTGGCTTCAGCCAAGTGGCTCTGCAGCTTCTCTCTGGCCCTCCACTGCCCTTGCAAGGGCTCTTACAGGAGGTTGTTCCTTGGGAACTGTTAGACATTAAGGGTGTTGGGCAGCAGGACATGGAGGCACCCTGAGTCTGATTAATGGGCTACTTTAGCCCCTGTGGGGGTACAGATAATAAAACCAAGACTTGAGTATTCACAAGGAGTTCTGACACCCACCTGCCATTAACTGAATGCGTTTGTCTGAAGGTTGTGGAAGCAGGAGGGAGTAGGGAGTTGTGAAGAATTTTTTTCTATGAAGGCTTAGCCTTCCCTACTGAAGGATGTGTCAGTCATGTGTGAGTGTGAGCAGAGGGTACAGGAATGTGCCCCAGTTTTAATCTTGGCACACATGGTTTCTCTTGAGCACACCTGAGTGTTTCTGCACAGGTATCCTGTGGGAACTGAGTGGTCAAATAAGAGATTTTTAGGCTTCAGGCATTAGCTTGAGCCTGTGCGAAACTAAGTCACAGAACCTTTTTGCTCTGGCCTAAGAAATCATAAGAAGGAATCCAAACAGTTCTTGGAGAGGGAAAACAATATATGCAGATGTTGTTTGGATCCTTGTTTACTTGCAAGAAACAGTCAAGGGGTGGTGTTCCTAATTGTCCAGCAATGGTGATGTGTTGGTTTAATGACCAGTGAGAGGTTTACCTTTTTGGACCTTCTTGGAACTGTCTATAAAAGAAGATCTAGAAGAATAAAACTTGCTCTCTTTTGCAACAAAGCTAAGAGTTGTACTTGCACTGTTCCTAATGTAGTGTGACAGTATCCCACTCACCAGAGTGATGGGCAGTCTGGGGCTCCTGCTTTACAGGCTACCTGACCTCACAGTCCAAGGAAGGAGACCAAACAATGGCCACATATCAGCATGACAGCAATTCCCATTGCTCCCTGTGATGCTTTAGTGGGCCCTACAGTCTTCAGTAGGTACTGGAATAAATGACCCATCATTGCTGCTGCTGAATCTGGTTGTTGCAGTGTGTGACTTTGGAGGCTTATCCCACTGGCAGTTGGCAGTGTGTTGTTATGTATATGCAGCTGTAGTATTTGCCAGACTCCTGCTTGTGTTATGTCCATGAGTGTATCATCGTGCTCCCTCCAGCCCCTCTGATTTCCTCTAATTTTGGTCTTCCTCTTACTGCTTTGCATTTTTCCACATAGGTGGTAAGTTTGGCATTTTTGACTGGGAATGCAGCCCTTGCAAATGTGCCTAATTGCCTGTTTCCTAGCAAAGATAATGCTTTGCCCCATTCTTGCCAGTATTATGCTAGAGCAGGAAGCACATGAGTCACATGGCTTGTCTATACACTGAGCTCTATTTGTTACTGACATACTGATCGTAAGCACAGGCACTTCTATTTCACAATCAGCTCCACTGCTTTTAGGGCTGTAATGCAGCTGCTCTGCCTTCAGTTTACTTGCCTTTAACTCTTTCAGACAAACTCTTACTTATCCCCTTTATTTTCCCTGTCTTGCCACACTTCTGTTTGTAACTAAACCATTTTTGCTAGGTGTGTCTTGGAAATGCACGCTTGCTTCTCTGCGCAGAGGTCATCACCCACAAAGGTGCTAAAGCATTTTAAGGTATCTCTAGACCACCAGGCACACCTTCTGGAACCTCTGTGGCACTGTATGGAGATGTTAGCTTTGGTCCTGCAGCAAAACAGCCATTTTTCTGCAATGCCACATTGCTGTTGGCTTTGGTCAGCATGGAGAAGCTACAAACTGCTGTATGGAGGAAACAAATAGAAATAAGCTGAAGTTGCAGAGGAAAAGGAAAGCACTTGTAAGTCTACTAGACCAGCTCCAGCCTGCACCTGAAGACCGAAGTTATGAGTTGTGTTCTATAAGCTTTGCAGCCACAGAGCCAGAGTTACAGACCATCTATGTTGTCAGGAGCCATCCTGTTGTGGGCTACCATGGCTTGTTCCAGGGTTACTGCTTGCCTGGCTTTCTGTGGGTTTGTGCTGGCCATAGGCTATGGGATCTTCTTTATTGGCTAGATGAGGCTGATGGTCAAGATTTGGTGGTTTTCCTGGTCATACATTATGGAAGGGAAATGGAGGATATGCACTTTTTGCTGTCGTGTAACTCTTAACATCTAATGACCTGTATTACCAACTGGTGCCCTTCCTTGAGCTCCAGTCCTGGAGTCCCTTAATTTGGGATCCTGCTCCTAGCCCAAAACAAAGCTCACACAGAGTTCTTCTATTGTATTTCTACAGACAAAGCATGCCCTGACAGTGGAAAAGTCTTCACTTCTATCTCCTGACAGTGGTGCTATCCTCAAAGATACCATGACCATCACAGATCCCTGTTTTCTCCTCTGTCTACAGCATGTTTCACCGCTCATCGCAGGCTGCTTTCCTTTTCTCAGATGTCTTCGGTGTCCCTTTGCATCAATGCAGTGTTGTAATTGTTGCCCGCTCACAAGGCTCCCCGCATGCTAAGCGAGGGCCTTCTAGCACCTGGGGGACCAAGTACACAAGTGGGGCACTTTCTCTGAGGGGTCATGGAGATGAGGATTCAAGAGTAGTTTAGGGCAGCCTCAGATCTCTGGATGTAGTTCAGCTCCTCCACAGACATATAGGAGCAGCCAAACTGGTCCTTTCCATTTGTGGCTTATTTGGGCAACTTCCAGTCAGAGACTTAGACAGGAAGAGAGGAAAGAAGTGAGACTGTGGAAGTGTCAAAGCGGCCTTAGCTTGTGAATCAGAAAAGGTAATGGCCACACCTGGGCATCGCACTCCAACTCAGGGCAATTGCCACTGAAAGGGAGCATTGGAAATTATAAGAGAAGGGTCTAGAAAGGGCCTCAGTCACGTGTTCCCTGGTGCCCCACAGCAGATTTCAGTAAACCTTTTCCATCAGAGACTGGTATAGCTTCTGGAGACATGGGGATATAAGGCACCATGCAAATACCAGAGATCTTCATCATTGTCCTTTTTATTACCTCCAGTATTAAGCTGGGTTTTTTTGGGGGGGTGTGAGTGAGCCTTTGGGTGAAAAGTATTTTTCCTTTTCTAGCTATATGCATACAAGGATGCTTATCTATGAGTGATCTCATGAATGCGTTCTTAGTGCTGCCTGCCTTGGGCTTAAAGGAGAGCAGGAAGATGCATTTAATCTGATGTTGCTTGTTCCTGTCATTTTGGAAAGCAGCAGGAATATGATGTTGTGTTTCTCTGACACTCCTTTCAGAACATTGGGAAAAAGATGACCTGCCAAGAGTTCATTGCTAACCTCCAGGGGATGAACGATGGCAAAGACTTCCCGAGAGGGCTCTTGAAGGTAAGGAATTAACTGCAGAATGTGGGTTTCATTTTTAGAAAGATGGTTCAAAACAGAACACCCATCTTGCATTTTCTGAATCTTAATTGTCAAACATGACAAGTGATGGGCATGTTTCTCCTCCCAGAACACACATAATATATATAATGTTTATTCTCTTGTTTTCCCTCTTGTCTTCACTTGATAGTGAAGGAGACTCTCTGCAGCACAGAGGGGTGAAACTGAGCTGCAGCAGGTCTCGCCCCAGAGATGTGTGCCTTGTAAAGTCATGTGGTCGTGCCAACCCAGAGTGCTGTCTCCTGATTACAGCAGACTGAAGCAGCCAGTTGGCTCAGAATGCAAATACATAAAGGCTAAGCCGGATCTCTGTGTACAATCTGGAAGGCGTGTGTGTTTTTTCATCGAAGGTGCTTTGGGGTATTCACATTAGAGCTGGAGATGTAATTTCAGATTATAATGTGCTGTCTGGCACAGGCAGCATTGCTTCAGCTTTTGTTCATTAAGTTAGTGCCAGGAGTTAATCTGAAGAATGGGGGAAGAGGCTGAGCAGACAAACCTTGTTTTATTGGCAGTAATAATGGGAATTGTCTTTTTTGTCTGATTGCTAGCATGAAACAGCGCTTTGTTTAAATGAAGACAGGTGCGCATACACTGGAGTTCATAATTTATTTATTTTTTTGTAATGGAAATAAAAATAAGAGGCTTCCACATCTGAGAGCTTACCCAATACCTATTGAAGCAAATCAAATGAGTTACCATCTCTTCTGTAGGTTTTGTGTCAGGACCATTTTGAAATACAGATGTGCTTGCATAGTTGAAAGCAGCAGAGTTTGTCTTCTAGTACTGGTAATTTCTTCATTTTCTTAATTTTCTTCAGGGAACTTTTTGTTGGGCCTCCTGTTTCAGTTCTCACTAAGCAATTGGGAATATCAACCCCCCTTTATTTTAGATTTAATGTATTTAATTTTTGAATCTGTGTATCTGTCAGCAGCCACACTTAAATTATTTTTTCCCCCAAGGAATCTCATTTCTCAGTTTGCCATAGAGGGATGTGTTGAGATTAATTTGCAGGCTAATTACAGCCCTTACTGAATAAATAGATCTCCAGACTGTGTTTAAATAAGCTGAATGTACTGACAAGAGACTTCCACTGGTGCTCACCTGCTGTTTATTTTCCTGCTAACAGAATTATGCAGTTGGGGCTGTACCTTGGTATTTAGTGCTCACCTGGTAATGCTGGAGATGTCTGACTCTTCATCCAAAACAAATACCAGGGCTCAGGATTTTTTGGATGCAGACAGATGGAAGAAGTTTGGTATTGGTGTTCCACTTTGCTTAAGGCTTTCTTCCCTTTTCTGTGTGCTGCCTTGATGTCTTGGGGACAGAGATGGCACCCAGCTTTGGTTTCTCATCTGGCTTGTCTGAAGATTTGATGAACTGACCCTTTTTTTTCAATTTATCAGTGGAGTGGAGTGGAGTGAGTACGAGTAATTGTGCTACTGTGTTCACAGCAGCCATGCTGCCACTACATGTGCAATTACAAAGATTTAGTGGGAATTTATTTTTGCATTGGTCTCAACAAATTAAGTTCACAGCACTCTGCTTCAGCACAGCACAAAAGTGCATGTGGCTTGCTGCTGCACTAGCTTTGTAGCCACTGAGCATGGGTGAGGCTGCAAGCCTTCTCCCTGCATCCTTGTCCAGCCGCCTGGGAGAGGAAGAGCAGTTTCCACAGGGTGGCAGTGTGTCTCTGTGGGAGTGAGGTCCTGAGCATCCGCTGGTGACTAATGCAGACCTGTGGGGAAGTAACTGGCCTTTTCTGCCTTTGCAGTCTCCCCTTTTTCTCCTCGTGGCCCTGCTGCACCCTTCTATGAAGCTCTGCAACTCTACTGAGCCCCAGGGCAAAGCTGAGCAGTGCTGGAGGGGAAGAAAGGCCAGGTAGAGCTGAGTGTTCATCCAGGGCTTGCAAAGCTCTGTGTAGCATTTACTGTGGATCCAGTTCCCAGACTCAGGGATGCAAATGTGAATGCTTTGGCTATCCAGGACAGCTGGCTGACAGGCATCAGTCAAATGTTGCCTTCAGTCAGTCCCTTCACCCTGAGTGTAGAATACGGCCCTGAGGGTTTTGTCTGTCTAGGAAAATAGCATATCAAGGGTCTGCCATAAACACGTGAGGAGGAACACACTTCTGTGTGATCAGCCTCAGAAAACTTGGGACATTAGATCAAGTTACTCCTTTCTTTCACATCTGTGGGGGAGCTAGCTCTATGTTTTCGTAAGTTTTTTTCCAGCAATGAGAACACTTTTGGTACAACACACAAGACCTTCATGATGTGATTTTCTGTGTGTCACTAGTTGTGCTTTGAGGACAAATATTTCACTCTGGTTTGAAAGTAGAAATGAGAAATGTTAATAAGATCTTTCTCACCTTGTGTCTTGCAGTCTGTTCATTTAGCATTGAAAATTCTGCTTCTGTATACCTGTCTGCACAAAGATTCATTGCCTTTCCTTTTTCCTCACTCCTTTAGTCAGATCTCTGAGGTTGCTTTTAAAGTTGGGACCCATAAAAACAAATACATCGAACTGTGATTAAAAGTGCACTTCTCCCCATGGGGTCTGCTTGTAGTATATATGTAGCAAGGGAAGCGATGGCTAGGATCTCACTCCTTGGAAAGCAAACAAAATCAGTGTGACTTTTTGGCAGTGTCAAGAACCTCATGATTACAATGTAGGAGTGGTTTGTTTCTCACATGCTCACACCAGCTTTAATCTGCTGTAGTGATACCATCTTCACAATGATGGGCTAAGGAATTGTACTGCGTGACCGTAGCCTTCTTCAAAGCTGGGCTTTACAAGATTTTCTGGGATGAGGAAGAGACTGGCTTGGAAAGAGCCTAACTTTAGCCATACATTCTTGCTTAAATTCCTGAGGGCAGTGTGGTCCCCACAAATAAAGTGCTGGTATGGTGCTGGCCACAATGTTTTCCTTTTGTCAGCTTGAGACAAGGTGTGTGGGAGTCCACTCCAGGAAGGTGGCAGTAACAAGGCCTTTCACATGTAAGGAAAGAAAAGTGTCCTCTGTGGTCCACCGAGAGCCTGCAAGAAGGCATAACTGAAGAAATGTATCCCTGTTTTTGCTAGGCAGTGTTCTGGGAGGGGTACTCTGTTGTTAGGCCGTGTGCAGAGTACCACCTGTCCTGTGTAAGTAAATGTCCTCTGTATTTACAGTGTCAAAGACACCTCATTCATGGAATCATGGGCATCACCCACCCTCTGACATGGGCTGACTGGTAGCAGTGCTGCCCCATGATATGACCACTGGATGTGCTGTCATACCTGGCTGTGTATCTTTTGGTAGGAGGTCATAGCTCTTCCCTGATCTATTATACCATCAAGGAACCTCCATCATGATGAGGTACCTGGGATGCTCTACAGACACTTGGCTAGACTCGTTCTGGCAGAGGCTGCTGATGGAGGTATGATGTCAAGCTTGCTTAAAGGGTCTGCTTTTTCTCAAAGGCTGTTTTTTGAGTAGGCCTTTTCTCCTGCAGAAGCACTGTAATGAAGTGACCAAATTAACTTGGAGTTGCTGGTGCTGAACTCTTGTGAAGAACCAGTCTTGATCAGGATTCCTAGTAAATGCAATTTCCTATAAAAGCTGCAAAGTAGGGTTTATCTCATGTTGCTGACAGTTCCCTGCACTTTAATTAAGGGATTTTTTTGCTACTGTCTTTCTGCCTCCTCTCTCTCTCTCTCCTTCTTTTTTTAATTCCCTTTGAAAGCCCTCCAATGCAAGCACCCAGTTTAAAGAGAGTTAGTGGCATCTTAGTTCATCCATTCCAATGATTTCAGGTATTTAGTGGGGAGAATGAGCATCAGGTGTCTTAACTTCTCCCTGCACAGCCTCAGCCCCCCTTTACGGAGAGTAACTCATACTAATTGGACTGCTGTGTGCACCCTAATTGCTCTCATCAGCAGTCTCTGTACTTCATCCATTTTGTGGCTTTTTGGCAAGAAATTCCCACCTTCGAGGGAAACCCAATGAAAGTGGGGGAATGAGAGCATGTGACAGCAGCATGCAAGAATGGCCCCAGGAGGATCACATGGAATGTTCTAACACCCTGCAGCGGAGGGCAGAGGAGGGAGAGGACTTTGCTCCATTGAATAAGACAGAGCTCTGCCTCCTTGTTTCTTCCCCAAAATAAAGTTTTTTCTTTTAAAAATACTTTTGTTGGAAATAGTATTTTGGTCCATTTCTTATCTGTATGAAGTAAATATGTTTTGGAAGGCCCCTTTCAGCTGCTAGGAGACAACAGAGTCCAGTCTGGCAGTATGAAAGTCAGGGAATGCAGGATGAAATCATTAATCCTGGTCTTAAACAGTTGTTTGTGAAAGCGTACTTTCGCTTCACTCTCAGAGCAGCCACAGATCTGGCTACAGTAGTGACTGTAGGGAGCAACCGCCTTGTTTCCACTCTCCTCCATCCTTGCTGAGAACCTTCCTGCCATGATAACCTTTGTCTCCCTCAACCTGGAGTTTTTTGGGTGTCGTCATTTGTCCTATTCAAGAGCAATAACCATTTAAAGCATATCTGTGCAGAACTGAGAATTGGACCAGGTTATGATGGTGTGTGTATTGCTTTGTGTCCCTTGAATTACAGAGATTCCTGACACCTTCCTGACCTGTTGAAATTCAAATATATTTTCTTTTTGCATTTGAGGAACTTACCTCAGTGCATATAAAAAGCAAAAATCTATAATCTATGTATTTTTTCTCAAGTCAAATAAACCCAGATATTGAGATGAAGAAAAACTCATAATAGCAAAAGCCTAATACCAGTTATGTCTCTAAGCAGGGAAAGCAGAACTTTAAACAAGGCTTAGAATATAAATGTTTTTGAAGGTGATCCAAGAATTAGGATTGCTTTGCATAGTCTAGGGGTAGTACAAGGGATTACTTGTATTACTAGGAAGCAGGCTGGATTTCAGGATGGACGGACC